GGATAGACGTGACTGAAAGAAAGATGGCAGCAGCGTATTGAAAAATGAGAAGGGATGGAGAGGTCCAAGTGGGTGGTGAGCACAAAATGGGAGTGATCAGAACCCAGCACCGCTGGCTTGAAAGTTTGCCTACCAGTAAAGAGGGGAAAGAAAAGAACTAAAACTCATCAAGGAAACCCCCAAAACTTGTAGCTATTCCAACTGGGCCTTCATCAGATCCAGAAAAGGAGCCAGCAGGAGCACCTGCATAACAGACAAAGAGGAAAACAGCAAATGAAGCAATGTTATTCCATACGGTGCAGAAATATCTGAAAAGCTCAGGAAGATTTTCAGCCAACACAACATATGTTAGAATAGAATAGAGCTGGAAGGGACCTTGGAGGTCTTCTAGTCCAGCCCCCTGCTCAAGCAGGAGAACCTATACCATCTCAGACAAGTGACTGTTTAGTCTCTTCTTAAAAATCTTTGGTGATGGAGCGCCCACGATTGCTGGAGGCAAGCTGTTCCACTGGTTAATTGTCCTCACTATTAGGAACTTTCTCCTTAATTCCAGGTTGCTTCTCTCTTTGGCCAGTTTCCAACCATTGTTTTTCGTCCTTCCCTCTGGTGCTTTGGAGAATAATTTGACCCCCTCTTCTTTGTGGCAACCTCTCAAATACTGGAATACTGCTATCATGTCTCCCTTATTTCTTCTTTTCTTTAGACTAGCCAAACCCAAGTCCTGCAGCCGTTCTTCGTATGTTTTAGCCTCCAGGCCTTTGATCATCTTAATTGCTCTTCTCTGAATTTTTTCCAAACTCTCAACATCTTTTTTGTGATATGGTGACCAAACATGGCTGCAGTATTCCAGGTGTGGCCTTACTAGGGTTTTATAAAGTGGTACTAATACTTCACGTGATCTTGATTCTATGTTTCTGTTTATACAACCCAGGATTGTATTAGCTTTTTTGGTTGCTGCTGCACAATGCTGGCTCATAGTCAAGTGATCGTCCACTAGGACTCCAAGGTCCCTCACAGTTACTATTTTTGAGCCAGGTCTCACCCAATCTGTACTTATACCTTTGGTTTTTCCTGACTAAATGTAAAACTTTGCTTTTCTCCACATTGAAATTTTGTTGGATAGGGTCCATTGTTCAAATTTCTCAAGATCTTTTTGGATCTTGAGTTTGTCTTCTGGAGTGTTTGGCTACTCCTGTCAGTTTGGTGTCAGGCAGAAGAAGAACATCATGGCTTCAAAATCTAAGGGACTGGTTTGGACAAAACTCAGCAGCACTTTTCCTGTGGCTGCTGATAGAAACAGGATCGCCAACGTCCAATAACGGATATGGCACAAGAAGAAGAAGAAGGCAGGTCAGGGATATCTACTTAAGGCGACAGAATTACAGCAGCCTTGCTGTCATCTGATTAGACCAGACCAGATGGCGACCCATCATTCTGCATGCCAGGCTTTTGCCGACTGGGGGATTCTGGGAGTTGGAGTCCACCCATCTTAGAGCTGCCAGGGATGAGAAGCGCGCCTTGTGCCAATCGCAAGAGGCGAGCGGCGCCCCTTCAAGCCTTCGGCCGCGGAGGGCGGAGCAGAGGCGCGGCCGGCCCTGGATCCCACCGCCGGAGCCTCTTGCGCGCCGCGCACCTCCGCGCCGGTCTCGGGACGTCGCGGCCCGCCAGCTGCCCGGGGATCGCCGGAGCCCACCAGAGCCGCCGGGACGCCCGGGCCGATCGGCTCCGACTGGGCGCTCCCGCGGCGAGGCTCGAAGGGCTCGGGCGGGAGGGGCGGGGCGTCCGGCCCCAGCCCAGCCTGCGGCGCTCGCGGCGGCCCCTGGCGAGGGAGAGGCGCCGGCTCGCCGAGGGAGCCCCAGGCTCGGCGCCGGAGAGGTTCCCTTTGTTATTCCGGGGCGGAGGGCGGGGAGGGCTTCCTCCGCTCCAGACGCCCCGCCGGCCGGAGAGCCTCAGCCCTCCGCTCCCCTCCGCCCGCGCCCTGCCTGCCGAGGCCGAGCCGGCGTCCCCGGCTGCGCTGCCCTCGCCCGACCAACGCGCCCCGGACGCGGCGGAGTCGCCGGGCGGAGGACAGCAGGGAGGCCGGGCTCCGCGTCTCGGACGGCCGGGCGATGCGGCTGGAGGGGCAGAAGCGGCCGGGAGGGTCGTGCGCCGCTGGGGAAGCCGGCGGGGCTGCGGGTCTCCCCTGACGGGGTCGCTGGTCTCCCCGAAGCGGGAGCGGCTTGACCCCGACCCGGCGCCGCGAAAGGCGGGCGCTTGGAGGCTCGGCACTCCTTCCGCGGACGGGGCCTCGCTCCCTCGGAGCTCCGGACGCCCGGTCGGGTAGGGCCGCCGGCTCGGGAAGCAGCTGGGCGGTCTCGGCGGGCAGGCAGGCAGGCAGGGAGCCCCGCGGGTTCCACTTCTACATTGGGGGGGGCGCCGCCCGTGGATTCCTCCGGGCCTTTCCAAAGCGGCAAGAGAAAGGAAAAGAACGGGGGACCAACTGGGGAAGTCCGGGAAGGTTCAGGTGGGACGCGAGGCTGCGAAAGAGGTTAAGGGCAGGAGGGCTCGCGCCCACCCGGAACGGTCTCCCCCCCCCCCGGGCCCGCTCTCTTTCGGGGACGAAACGGGCTGTGTGAGCCCGTTAGCCAGGCGCGGCTTCCGAGGCTCCTGCATGCTCTCCAAGGAAACAGATCGAGGCAGGAAGATCCTTTTATTACAATTTGAACGCTCTGACTAAAACGGATTCCTCTCATTCTAAGAGGGAACCCCGAGATCAGCTTTCGGTCCCTTTTTTTTTTTAATCAAAGAAAATGCAAGAGAAAAGTTGATTGGACAGGGCAAAAGTAACCCTTCTTTTGCATAGTAAATCAGTTACATAGAGTTAAACACATACATGTGACAACATGTATGTCCATTTAAATGAGGTCTGACGAAATTTGCGGGTGTGTAAAATTTAAGATGTAAAAGGAAAAAAAGTCATAAATTTGTTTGGAGTTCACAGAGAGAGAGAAACCAGATATACCGGAGAGAAACCAGACAAACTCCAGACACCCCATCCTATTCTGATCTGGGCAATAAAGACAGTTTTTTATCTTGAAGTTTAGGAATGTTAGACGTTATCAATCAAACCATTAATATCATTTAAAAGGAGAGAAAAATAAGTCAAATGAAAATTCAAAATAACTAAGTTAGCAAGTACAACAATACTACAAAGTCAATGTTGGTACTACAAATTCCATCCTGTGTGACCCAAAACCTGAACCACTGTATCCAAATCCTGGCTGTCGCTGGTGAGAAAGAGCCCCTGTCCCAGATTTAGGTGTCCTGCTGCCCTGGAGAAATGAGCAGGTCGAAGGAGGCGGGCAGGACGGAGGTAAAGAACCTATTTCACCTGCCATGCAAACTCTCCCAGCCATGTTCGCCACACGCCCCCTCCCATAAAATTCTATAAAGGGAGGTGGCTGGAACCAGTCTTAAGGCTTCCTTCAATGAGATGGGCTGCATATAAATTTAATAAATCAATAAATAAGTTAGATGATGCTGGGAGAGGGGATGTGAACGAGAGTCCAGCTAGACATAGCAACACTGAACCTAGCGTGAGAAACAAGGTTATTGTAACCAGAGCTGATAACGAATTGGTGGGCTGCAGAACTGGAGAGGAAGCCCAGGCTTCAAGCTAATTGGGGAATGTGATTTATGACTGTTCATTGGAGGAGGGAATTGTGCTTTGATACTATGTGCTCAGGGGAGGGGAATTCAGTTTTTGGCTTCGATTATGCCAGTGCTGATGTTATGCTACTCAAAATAAAGATCCTTTAAGGTAAACAATGCCTCGAAGTTCTTTTGAAGAGTTTCATCTGTCGGAACCATGACAGCTTGCTCTTCTCTTGCAGGTGGGGTGGTTGAGAGGGAGGCCCCACGATGGAGGAGAGGAAGAAGAAGAGCCCCAAGGCTCACCTGGGCCAGCCGGGCCCTGCAAGTGCGCTGCGCAAGCTGCCTGTTCCGGCCAGCAAGAGTGCCTCTTTCTCGCTGGGGACGCCACACCTCCCATCTCCGAGGCCAAGAGCCAAGTTTAAGAGGTCAGCAGGAGGACGGGGCAGAGCGGGCCTCTGAGGGCAAGGCCTAAGGGCGCCAGGCCAGGCCAGGCCAGGTGCTCGGGCAGGGCTGGCAGACTTTCAGGTAGGGCAGGTGGAATCTGAGCCTCACATGGGTGGAAGATTCGTTTATTTTCGGTTGCCGCTCCAGCCCTTGTCAGAAACTGTCTCAGAGCATCATAAAGCATTTGAACCAACCCTGGGAAATGAAATGAAAATTATAACAAAAGGCAACAGGAAAAAGCATCTGGCTATTAAAAAAGCAATAATAAGAAGCAGTATTAGAAATATTTCTACTGGGGGCAGCCTGTGGCGGGAATCTGAGAAACGTAGCAGAATCAGAGCTGGGATGAAACTTCAGAGTTGTGACAAAAACCTCTGAGAAACCAATAAAAAACGGCTCCTGTCCTGCCGCTAAGAAAACTTCACAGTCATGCTGATAAGGAGACCACCTTGAGGAGACTTTATTTATTAAACAGAGAGCTGAGCCCACATGTATCCTTCTCACAAAAGTGTTTGCGATACCCGGAGGAGCTCTATTCGCTTTTTAAACGGTTTTGTGACCGACGCCTGAGTTCTTGGCTTAGACATAGTTTGCTTTGGATCTCATTGAGCGATCCGCGGTTAGAAATCTCATCCTGTGGTGGTGGGTTTGAGTCAAGGGTCTTTGATGGGCCCCTCAGCTCAGTTAAGGTAGTTCTTTCACATCCTCCTTGCGTTGTACAACCACAATTCAGTAAAAGAAATAGGGCTGGTCGGGTCCAGCCCTCTTCACACAGCTTGTGGTTATCAAGCTAGCTTCCTTTCTGAGTTTGTACAGTGCAGTTAACCGTAAGTCACAAAAAACTATTCAGAGTTATAACCAGCTAAGCCTAGGTTTGTGCAAATGCAGGTACGTAAGTATGTGGAGGGACCGCCGCATCGATGGGGCAGGGTTGCGGGAGAGCGGGTGGGAAGAAGAGGCTCAGCCAGCAGTACAAAGCACCCCATCAGAGGATATTTAAAGGGCTGCCAAAATGCCAGTGCTTGCAGATCGCCCTCCAGGCAATGCCAAAGCTTTCTCTGCAGGGGAGGAGAGCTGCTGTGCTGGCCGGCCGGACGCTTGGCCGATCCTGTGGGAGAGCCTGCCTTTCTCTTGGAGGCTGGCTGGTTTCCTGCCATTGTTCACCTCTCCTTGTTTTCCGTTGCAGAGCAAGCAAGGAGGCGCCACGAGTCCCACAGCTTGGGGGCAATGCGGGGTCCGTGGTGGGCACCCCCCTGCAGCATTCGTTCCTGACCGACGTCTCTGATGTGTATGAGATGGAAGGGGGTCTCCTTAACCTGCTGAATGATTTCCACTCAGGGAAGCTTCAAGCTTTCGGTAACCTCTTTAATGCTGGGATATCTCTAGACTGTATTACGCTGGGCAGAGAGAGTTGGGGCGAGTTCAGATCCTGGGTTATCACTAATCTCTGGATAATCCTTTCCTTAACTTAGCCCTACTTCCATGAAAGAGGTTTCTTGAGCAACCTATTAATCCATTTTTATTAGGATTTCATTTATTCATGACACCATAATTTTTACTCTGCGCTTTTTGACGAAAAAGCCTCTCTCTTATGTTGAATCTTGCATCTGCTTGTCAGTCCCTGGCCACCGCTGCCCACATCCTTGGCTAGAAGCATTTCTGTCTCAAAGGGCTCCGTCGTCAACCCGCTTTTCTACATGGAGGAGGGTTGTCCTGTCTTTCTAATAATTCTCTTGCTGCAACAATTAACATTCCTCACACTTGTCAGGGATAGAAAAATTGTCCCAGTATCAGCTCATTAGATTTTCCCCAGAAGATGTGGCAGAGAAGCTTTGCTTAGCAACTTAATGTATGGATTAATTATATATGGAATGTACATAAGCTCCACTTATGGGGTGTGTGTGTGAAATTTCAGTTAAGTGCAAGGTTTATGTTCCTTTGATTCATTGGTTTTGGGCTTCTAAGGCAGCATTTCCAACTCTCGGCAATCATGCTGGCAGGGAATTCAGAGAGTTAAAATCCACGCATCTTCAAGCTGCCAAGGCTGAGAATCACTGTTGTAAGGATTTCAATAATGGATATAGTTTGAGTTTTTACCAACTGTGATGCTTTTGATTTGGAAGAAATTATAATGATCTGTTTATCACACCATGCCTGGTCTGGAGATGATTGTTGAGTTGGTTAGGAGTATCATGCCGTTAGCCATAAACACCGGCAGATCCGTTAGCCCAGTGCACCTTGCCCAAATAGAACCCAAGCTAGAAAAGTAGATTAAAATGTCTTAATTATGTACACAAGTAAGGAGAGGCACCTCACCCAAGAGAGGAGAGGAGCAGCTTAGAAAATAGAAAATCACTTTATATACAGTTCAAACCTATTGGGTCTGGAACGAGTTCTTTCATTGGTTAGCATCATTTGACACATCTCTGATGTAGCACACATGTCTTTAGTATATAGGATGTAATATCCTCATAGCATTCCATAATATCATTAGTATGATTTTGTTAACGCGCATCATCATATTCAGGAGGTTTTACATTATAATGAGGCGTGGAGAAGATTACAAGTAACTATAGTTCAAGTCAACAGGTTTTGAACCAGTTCTCTTACCAGGCTGTACAGAGCTTTCTTTGTTTTTTCCAGGAGCAGAAACATTAATCAAAGAAACTTCTAGTTGCTGGAAACATTAATCAATGCTGCCGCTGCTGCCGCCATTAATTCCTTTTTTGCTAAGGCCCGCAGAGTAAATCTTTTCTTTTTTCCCCCCTGTTTGGCTCACCTTGTCTCTGCTCCCCTGTCCTGGTCTGGGCCTGCAGGCAGAGAATGTTCTTTTGAGCAGCTGGAGCACGTCCGGGAGATGCAGGAGAAACTTGCCCGCCTGCACTTCGGCCTGGATGTCTACGTGGAGGAACTTGTGGAAGATCAGAAGAAAACTGTGGCTGACAGGAATCTGGACCAGCTGCTGACCAACGTGAGTGTCCCAAGCAATTGCCTTCTTCTCTTCTTCAAAGGACTCCCCCCTTTCTCGTCCTCCTCCTTTCTTCAGCTGGGGATTAAAATAAGTTGCACGGTTCACGATGACTGCTGGGCTTGATGGGGAGAGCAATTTGAAGTGTCCTGGATAGGAGGGAGGATTGGGAGTGTCTTGTTTTGATGAGCGTTTCCTGGCACGCTCCTCTCCAGCCTGGAGAGAACCAAGCAACCTAGGAAACCCCATCAGCAACACCTCTGGGGGGAAGTAGCCCCACCGCTTCCCACTGGGTCCTGTACGTGCCCTCTCTGAGCTATTAAATTGGTGGTGATTTATAAGCTGGTTTTGTCCAAAATCCAGTCTTGTGATGGGATGTAGTGAGCAGGATGCCCAGGAGGGAGGGAGGGATGTATTCCAGAGGAGTAAGATGCCTTGGAGCCTTGGGATAACATGTAGGTGGAGAATTTCTCCAAAAAGTCCTGTCCCCTGATGAGATGTAATGGGATGGGGAAATGACCTTGGCAGACAGGGCAACCAGATGCAGCCATGACAACAACCAGATAGCCTGCAGCAGGAATGGGAGTGGGGCAAAAGCATCAGAAGAGATCCACCTGTGATTGTGAGGAGGTGGATCCCCAGAAGGTGGATTCCCAGGATGGAGGGGGTGCATTCCAGAGGAGGAAGAGGCAGTCCAGATATCCTGTGTGAGAGAAAGAGGGTGAAGACAGCCCCTCCCTAACCATTCCCAGAGCATTTGGTAGATGTCGATGGCTTGCAGAGTCCTCAGTCTGGCAAGATTCCGTCCACAGGCGTGAAGCAATAAAGAGCCTGGGAGAACTGCCACATGTCGTTCTGGGTTTTGGACTTGACATCAATCTTGCCAGACTCGGGACTCTGCTATCTGCATCTACCATGTAATCTGAGAACTCTTAGGGAGGGGCTGTCTTCACCCTCTTTCTCTCACACAGGATATCCGGGCTGAGGTGCCTCTTCCTCTGGGATGCAACCTCCCTCCTGGGGACCCACCTCCTCGCTCCCTTCCATCACATCCCTAGACTGAAGTGGGCTTGGTATTTTGTCATTTAGGAAGAACACAACCCACCAAAACATAAAGTTGGGTTCCCTGTTGCATGGATCCAGCAGCTCGGGGTGAAATGGTGGTGGTGGGGACACAGCAGGCGAGGCTGGAGGGAGGGCTGTGCTCTTGCATATGTTCACAATGCTTTTTTTTTTTGCTTTTTTCATTTGTTTTTGCAGCTGGAAGAACTCAGCAATTCCATGTATCCTTTTTGTAGGGCCCAATGTGGTTTTCCTGTCAAATTGATCCGGGGGGGGGGGGGGGGGGGGGGAAAGGGGGGGGGGGGGGGGGGGGGAGGAGAGGAAAAGGGATGTGAATGGGGTGCTGTTTCAGAGAAGAAGTAGACGGTGTGGGTGTGGATGTACACTTCCAGGTTCCTCAATGTTAATGTTACATGCTGCAGATTCAGTTCAGAGCTGCAATCTAAACTAAGTCAGCATGGCTGACGTTCATAACAATATTATGTTTTGTAGGATGAACCAATGGCAGAGATGTCCCTGGGTGGATGGGGGCTATAAAAGTCAAGATCATCATTTCTCAATCTTGGCAACTTTAAGATGGTGGACTTCAACTCCCAGAATTCCCCAGCTAGAAGTGCATCCATCTTAAAGTTCCAAGATTGAGAAACATTAGTCGAGACAAGGACTGCAGCTGCACGATTGAAGCCTTGGCTTTTTGTTTACATGTATTGCGTCTGTAAAAAAGGGGTGGGAGGTTGTGGCTGCCATCTTGGCTTTTTTCTCCCCCTGAGATGCAATTTTGCATCATGATTAGCCAGGATTCCTTGCTGTTGGTCATTTGGACTGAGACCGATGGGAGCTGAAGTCCAAAACTTCAGGAAGGCAGCTGGTCTATCCAGGCTATAGAATTTCGGAGAAAGGGCCAGGAGAAACGGCTGTTCTCCTACTCCTACTACTCATTTCTTAACCCTTCACCTTAGACAAAAGCTTCACCTGGCTGAAAATCCTGATGTGGAAGAAGCACCCAACACCTAGAAAAGGCATCCGGAAGGGCCAGGCCGGCCCCCTTGTGGCCCTTCTGAATAGGCCTCGAGAAGGATGTCCCACAAGGATGTCTGGCAGGCAACTGCATCTGAATTGTGTTTGTTGAAAGATTAGGGGCTGCCAGATGGAAAGAGGCAGAGACACGCAAGCAGGAGGCAGAAAGCTCAAGGGACAAGAGCCTGTTCTGCATGGCTACCAAACAGAAAGAGAAGCAAGGAAGGCAAAGGAGAGGGACCGGCCAGGATGCTGATCCTCCACATTGGAGCCCCGAGTCGAGCTGAGAGACCCTCTTTTGCTTAGGTGTGGCAAGAGAAGGAGGCTTCTGGTTTCCTTCCCCTTGCAGTGTCGCTCCAGGTTCCATAATGGACAAACCTCTCCGGAAATTTGTGATGAGCAGCAGACGTAACACCAATGGCGGCCCTTTGTTCTCGCTCCTCCTGCTATGTGAGCTGGGCACCTCTCATTTTAAATAGTTTTGTTTTTGTAAGGCTGCACGAGTTTGATCTCCTGCATCCTGTGCCTGCTCTGCACATGGCATTAGTCTGAGAGCTATATATTATTCTTTCCTAAGAATACAGTTAGTATATTAGGGGTGGGACAATTGCTTTGGGGAGAGTTTGGAAAAAGCCCCCATTATTCATGATAATCCTTTTATGTTCCTCCTTTTCCACTTGGATCTACAGCTGTGAACAGATGAATTCTGACAGCATCGAAAGTGAAAGCGACTGGGGAACCTTTGTGCTGAGAGGGTTCCTGAGAACATGATCTATCCCTGCACTCCCCCATCACCTCCAGTCTCCCTGGCTGGGGACGTGCAGAAGAAGAAGCAGGCCGAGCTGCTTGGTTTGCCTGTCACAGGCTCTCAAATCAGGAAAGCCCCTTTGGAGCCACCACAAAACCAGAGAGATGGAGAGACCTTCTGCTCAGCAGGGGGAAGTGGGGAATTCCATCCTGAAAACTACTTGGATCGACTAGCCTATTTCCAGAAGGCTTCTTCTGTTGCTGGAATTGGGGGCATTTTTTCCTTTGTAAGCAATTCCAGAGAGAAGAGCCCTGCGCTAACTTGAGTTCCCTCCCAAATGCAGACTCTGTGAGCCATCAATGTGGTGCTGAGAGTGTTAAGCCACGACCTGAATCACTTACATAAAAGAAAAAACACGTTTGAAATTACACTCTGTTTTTGGTTACTTTTATAGTTTTATTGAACCAGGAGGGTGCTGCTCATTCTGAGACTTCCTTGTAGAATGGGTGGGAAACTATGATCCTTTCATGACTTGTGGACTTCAACTCCCAGAATTCTTGAGCCAACCATGATAGACATCAACTTCCAAAATTTCTAAGACAGCCATGCTGGATTAGGAATTCTGGGAGTTGAAGTCCAGAAGTCATAAAGGAACCATAGTTCCCCTCCGTTGTCGTCTAAAGCTTTAGCAGCGGCGTTTGATCCTTTCTCTGCTTTTATGGGCTCGGGTTCTCGACGGTGGTGGTGGTGGTGGGAGGGGGAGGAACGATAAGGCTCGGCCGGCGTTGGAGCGTTGCTTGGGGGAATTCTGGCAGTTGAAATCCACCCATTTTAGAGCCGCCGAGCGTCGCGGAGTGACGACGTCATATGCAGCCGAGCGGAGACCGGAAGTGGGCGTCGCACACCTGGCTGAGAGGATCGGTCCCTCGAGCGCCCCCATTTTAGCCCGAAGAACCTGGCCAATCAGAGTGGGGATCGGGCAGACAATCTTTGTGTGGACCCCCCGATGGGAATGATGGGACCTGGAACTCTGCGCAGCTGGAAAACGGACCGAGCCGCCGGCCGTGTAGGGGGAGGAGGGGGGCGTGGCGCGAGTCGCCCTTCGCTGACGTCACCAGAGGACGCGGTTGCCGAGGCTGGCCGGAGGATGCGGGAGGCGGCGGCGGCGGCGGCGCGGCTGCAGGTAGGCGGCTGGCGGCTCGGCTGAGGGGCGGAGACGGGGGTGGGTGGGCAGAAGTCCCGGCCGGAGGCGTCCAGAGGGAGGAACGCGGGGCGGAAAGCGGCTGGGAAGGGGCCTCGGGGCTGCCCTTGGCTCGGGGGGCCTCCTGCCCTCCCCCGCTTCGCCCTGGAGAGGGAAATCTGGGGAAGAGTCACAGGCAGTCCTCGACTCAACAACCATTCGTTTAGTGACCGTTCGAAGGTGCAACAGCACTGAAAAAGCGACTTAGGACCGTTTTTCGCACTTACGGCGGCATGGTCACGTGACGAAAATCCGGTCGCTTGGCAACTAAGGTGATCACGTGATCCCCACTTGGCGACCTTCTGACCAGCGAAGTGGTGTTTTTTCCCCCCACATAACAGCCGTCTTACTACGAGTTTAACAACTGCAGTGATTCACTTAACAAGGATGGCAGGAAAAGTTGTAAAACGGGGCAGAACTCGTTGACTTGCTTAGCAACGGAGATTTGGGGCTCAGCTGTGATTGTAAGTCGAGGACTGCTTGTAGTAGAAAGGGCGAGAGGTTAAAAGGTTCAGATAAATGTAATAAAAGGGTTCTGGGCTCCCCTGGTCTTCCTTCCTCGCCTTCAGTGTTTAAGAATTGGGCCTGGGAATTGGGATGGGGCACAAGTAAGCGCCGCCCTCACCCCCCTGTCAAATGGCGGCTGGACGAACAAGATGTAAGGGAGAAAAATCACCTGTTAAACCTCTACCTATCAAATCCTGCATTACTGGAGAAACTCGGTCTGTGCTGCCTGGTTCTATGCCAGCATCGGTCACTTCTGTCCAGCTGTGATTGTGCTTTTAACCATTTGTTCCCTTTTAGGCTGTTGCCAGGGGCTATTTGACCAGGAAAAGGCTTCAAAGCCTAAGGAGTAAGTATGAGAGCATCGTCAAGGAAATTGAAGGGGACTTGGATTGGGTCCAGTGGACTGGCCATCTCTTCCCAAGACCGGAGTTTCTCTCAAAGGTATAACTGTTGATAGGTTCAGCTCTTAGCAAAAGCGGCAGTATCGATCCTTGTTTGTTGAATTCCTCCAGAGGGGAATTAAAGGCCTAGTGGTTAAGACATCAGCTAGAAACCAGAAGTGAGTTCTGTTTCTACCTTAAGCAAGAAAACCATCTCGATCAGCAACCTGTGCAGCTTGGTGGCCCAGCGGAGGGGGGGGGGCAGAGGGGAACTGGGCCATATGAGCAGCGGGCCAGCACGCACATGCCCGCAGCTTGACTTACACTTACCCCTCAATTAGGAATTAATAAATGCAATTTTTCCTTCTGCTTTGCAAGTATGTTTCCTCCACATAGAGATGAACTTCATGCGTGTTTGTTGTTACAAAACTAACAGTCTGGTGGCATTCGGTATATCCATTTGTATATCATATAAATGTTTGTTTGATGTGTAATAGGATGTGCAATGCTCTGTGCAACACAGACCTGCACATTCAACTAGAAAGTATCTTGCTCTGTAAATAATGATCGTTCCTTTTTTAAAGGTAATTTTTTTTATTATTTTTTATTATTGTTTTGTTTTATATTAATGAACTTTATTTTTATATTTTATTTATAGTCTGCCCAGAAATCAATAAAGGAATTCAACAGAGAAGAAGTTAAAGTTGACAAGCCACAAAAACAGGACGCACAATATCATCAAGAGATGTTACAGTCTAAACAAACGTGTGATTTTGAGATGCAGTTTCCAAACCGACTTCTGGCTGAGGTGGCAGCTGAACCCAAGATCGAGAAGGTAGGACAGAGTCTGGAGCAAGCTGTGGATGCTCGCCCTGGGAACGTCTGCAGCCTGCCAGGAGAGAACGAGGAAGGGGAGCCCAGCAGTGCCTCATCTGACTGGAGCAGCACAATTCTGGGGACGGAGTCTCCCCGGATGAGCCAAGGTAAGATAGGTGCTGGAGGAACCCTGGACTTTGGTAAATGGGGCAGGTGGTTACTACATCTGTTCATCCAAGTCCCTGGATAGCATCAATCTTCTTCCTAACAACTTTACAGAAGCAACATTGTGTGTGTGTGTGTGTGTGTGTGTATAAATAAGATGGTTGCCTTGCCCGGCTTGAGAGAGGGAATCCTGTTTCTGACTGCTTCGTTCTTTTCTTCTCCAGAGTCTCATTTCCCCAAAGCACCAGAAATGCCCAGAGGGATGCCTGGTCTGCAGAACTACCGCAAGCACCTGGCCATGGAACTGCTCTGGCTGCAGCAGGCAATTGCCAGCCGTAAGAACGTAAGGATGCTGCCTTTGGGTCGCTTGCCGGCCTTTTGTCTTGGGGAGCAGCCATAACCCAAATGCCGGCTGGTCTGGCACAGTTCTGTGATCACCGCTTCTTCTGTAAGCTGACAGGTGCCAATGGGGAGGAGAGGTAGTTCAGCATTGTCCCGGGCTTGGGCAAAAGCAGGTGGCCTTGGCAGGATTCCCTCGGGGTACGGAAGAGCGTGCGTCTTTAAAATTCAGAACTGTGCTAGTAGATGCATTGGACAGGGGTTAAAACTATGAAGGAAAGGGTTTATGGTCTCTTTGGAATACAGGGATTCGTATCATTTTATTAGGATAGCTGCAACAGTTGATGTAGATTTCGTCTACTTTCATTCCTTTCGTTTCCTTTTTATTACTCTCATCCCTCATAGTATTTGATCCTGAAACAGAGATTGGGGAACCCAGCTTGAGAGCTCAGCGGGAGGGCACCTGTGATCTCTTCTCCCTGAACTGGAAGCTCACACCTTCTCCTGCTGCCTCCGGAAAGGAAGCACGTGGCTGCAGGCAAGGCGTCCGCCGTGTTTCCTTGGAGAGGCCGCATCCTGAAGTCACCGTTGAGACTTACGAAAGTAGCTGTGAAAAGTGGAGACTGCAAAAGCTTTCCAAGGTCGGCAGACTTTGGAATTGCACTTGCAGAAGTTCCTGTGGGGCACTTTTGGTGGAGCAGTGACAGAATGTCAGTTTTCACAGTATTTGCAAAGCTATCAAGTGAAAGCCGTGGCCTGCGTGGCGCCTTGTTCCCCTGTCAGGTGCGTTAGAGCAGCTTTGACCCGAAAGCTTTCAGTTCCTGGAATATTATTCCCGGGTGTTGTATTGTAGGTGGAACCTTTTTTTTTCTTTGCATCTGCTTTTTGTGGCTACTGACTGTTGGATTATTCTTAAAGTCTTCACTGTGCGGTTGTTTTTTGCTGCTTTGTTGGCTTGTTTTTTGAAATTTGGATGCTGTTATTAAATTATTATGAAATTTTGGCCTGTGACTGTAAAATTAGGCAGTACGCCGCATTTTTCAACTGTGGTAGGCAGCATGAACCTGCTAGAGGCATTACAAGTATTTCTCAACTTACCATCACAATTGGGGTCAGTCCCGTTGTTAAGCAAGACCGTTGTTAAACGAGTCAAGCCTGATTTTAAGCCTGGTTAAGTTAGTCCCTGCAGTTATTGAATCAGGTGGTTGTTGAGGAAATCCAGCTTCGTCTGTTGACTTTGCTTGTTAGAAAGTTGCAGTTTTGCTGAGGGGAATTCTGGGAGTTGAAGTCCACAAGTCTTAAAGTGGCCAAGGTTGAGGACCCCTGCTCTAAATTAAGACAGTAGCAATATTGCTGGCTGAGGAATTCTGGGAGTTGAAGTCCACAAGTCTTAAAGTGGCCAAGGTTGAGGACCCCTGCTCTAAATTAAGACAGTAGCAATATTGTAGTGTGATTTTTAGCCAAAGATCCTCAGGGTGGGTTACATTAGTTCAACAAAAGATAGCCGTGCATTTAAAAAGAGAAGCTCTTCAAATGGAACTAGCATCAGAGCCAGGAGTAATAACTTCTCTGGCAGGACTAGTCAGTCTCATAATCTTTAGTTTTTTAAGGGGATTTGGGAAATTGCAGGAACTGCAATGAATATGTTGAACGGTCGGGACCTGTTGCTTTGTTATACTGATCGTTTTTATTTCCTTCCGAATCCACTTGTCTGTTTCACAATATCTGCAAAACAGATTTGCATTTGACGTGAGCTGCTCACCACAACCTCAGAGTCCTTTTGTAGCTCTTGCATTTCCACCCTGGTGGCGGCATCTGAAGAGGGGCATAAGGCCATTCATCGTGCCCGGGTGGGATGTGAAAAGTCCACTGACAGCGGAAAATGCTCCACTCTGGGTTGAGGGGTTTATTACATTTTTCACCAAAGAAGTTTCCCTTGATTGGGGCAACCCTGGCCTAAGCCCCAGCATGTGCACTGGATGGAGCTGAGGCAGAAGAGTAGAGAGGAGCATGTGATTGTCTTTGTAGTCCCATCTTCATTACGGCATGACCTCTGATCTCGTGGTTAGAGGAGCTGGCATCCCTGCCTCCGGGACTCTGAAAGAAATGCGAGTTGTGCGCCTGTTGACGGGTGTCCTGCTCTCATTCTAGAAAGAGGCTGTGCACACCTCCACAAAAGAGGTGTTTCTGCCACAGACACACCCAAGTCTTTCACCAAACGGAGGGCACTCCCTCTCTCTTTCCTTGTTGAACTGGTACCATGGAAACGGCATAGTTCTCCTCTTAGCAGGCAGCCTGACACGCTCAGAAGAGTGGTGCTTTTCGGCTGCAGAAGCCCCCAAGGTGCCCCTCTGCCCTCTGCCAGGGGGCTTCCTCAGATAAGCAGCCTGGGGTCTGCAGCCCAGGAGAGATGGTCTCGGCGACTGTGGCAGTGGCACCCCTTGCCAAGAATGTGGTGGTCTTTCGCAACGGGGACCCCTTTTTCCTTGGCCGGAAATTTGTGGTGAGCCAGCGCCGGTTCCTGACCTTTGATGCATTTTTGAATGAGGTGACCAGCACCATCCAAGCCCCCGTGGCCATTAGGAGCATCTACACGCCCCGAGGGGGTCATCGCGTCACGGAGCTGAGCGAACTGCAGAATGGCTGCCGATACGTGGCTGCAGGTTTCGAGCGGTTCAAAAGGCTCGAGTAAGTAACTCCCTTCTTCTCTGTTGCAGTCGTCAGTCAGCAAAGCGGATGAGGGGAAAAATTATGAGAGATTTAAACTGTTAAAAAGATAAAATATATAAGCCATATGAATTATATTAACTAAAAAACTTAAAAGTAGATATAAGAGCCATCAAGGGTAAGATGAGAATCTAAAAAAGGAGGCCTATTTATTTATTTATTTATTAATTACATTTATATCCCGCCCTTCTCCTTGCGGACTCAGGGCGGCTGACAATTGGATAAAATACTAACATATTATACATATTATACCTAATTAAAATTTAATTAAAACGAAATATTTAAATATGTCAAATTAAAAGTAATTAAAACCCCTTTAAAATCCCTTAGGCCAGTCCCGCTAGC